TGTGTGTGGATGCTCACAGAGAGCAGAAGATGGTGTGTGTGTGTGTGCTTGTGCATGTGTGTGGATGCTCACAGAGACCAGAAGATGGTGTCAGATCTCCTGAAGCTAGACTTACAGGAGGCTTCGAGTCACATGACAGATTCTAGCAATCAAACTCAGGTTCTCTGCAAGGTAGCAAGTATCTCCACCTCTGAGTCGTCTCTCCAACCATAAACAACACTTTAAGATACAGACAGAAGTAAGACCTTTCCTAGAAGGACTCTCACATCACAGAATATAGTTCCAGAGCTTGACAGATAAGATTACATGAAGTTGATCACACGACAGAGAAATAATTCCTAGAGTGAAGCGACAACGGACAGAATGGGAGAAAATCTTTGCCAGCTGTACTTCAGATATGTGTGGGGGTGGGGGAAGGCAACTGTAGGAAATACAAAAAACTACAAAAACTAGACATAAGAAAAACAATTCTAGCAAAAAGACAGCCTGGTAAAGCATGCTCTAGATCCTTACCCGTCAGGGAACTGCAAACTTAAAAACGGGAGGCTCCATTTTACCTGCTCAGCGTGTCTAACGTCAAGAGGACAGCAGGTCAGGGCAGTAGCAAATGATGTAATCTCAGGAAAGGTCAAGAGGGTGGAGATTCAAAGGTTATTCTCTCAGGTACATAGTAAGTTAAAGACCAGCCTGGTATTATGCCGGGCGGTGGTGGCGCACGCCTTTAATCCCAGCACTTGGGAGGCAGAGGCAGGTGGATTTCTGAGTTTGAGGCTAGCCTGGTCTACCAAGTGAGTTCCATGACAGCCAGGGCTAAACAGAGAAACCCTGTCTCAAAAAACCAAAAAAAAAAAAAAAAGAAAACCCAAAAATGTAACCAATACTGTGAAGGTTGTAAAGAGAAAGGACTTGTCTCTACTGTCATGAATGGAAACTTGGCAGAGGCATGTGAGAGTCACTGTGGAGAGTTCTTAAACCACTAAAGGTAGAAATGCCAGATGATGCAGGGATGCCACCGCTGCATGTGCCCAAAGGACTTATGTCCTGCCACAGAGATCCTTACACGTCCATGTTTATTGCTGCACTGTACACAGTAGCTAAGCCATGGAAGCAGCCTAACGTCCACCCACTTATGGATGGATAAAGAAATGTGGTACATATATAACGGAATTATATTCTGTAAAGAAAAACGGAGTCAGGACATTTGCAGGAAAATGAATGGAACTGGAAACCATTGTACTAAGTGGAAATGGGCCAGATTCAGAAACACAAAGAGTGCTTGTTTTCTTTACTGCATAGCTCCTAGATTTGGGAGAAAAGGTGTGGGGAGAGGGAGATGCAACAGACTAGGAAGGCGACTATGAGCAGCAGTGAGTTCTTAAGGGTAAGGGACAGAAAGAGAGGGTAATTGAGCGCACGAGACATGAGAGAAGACAGAGTAGTAGGGGAAGCCAGCCAGCAGGACGGAGACAGGGCTCGAACGAGTAAGAAGAGATGTGTCTGAGCATGCCATATGAAAACCCACTCTTTGTATGCTAGCTTAAGAACTGAAACACCAAAGCAGGGAACAGTGCTGATTGCAGAGAAGTACTTTTAAGTGCTTGGTAAGTGATTTAGTTGATTGGAACTTCTCATTTGGGATGAGCTGCACCCGTTACATCATCACTCTTTGAAAAGAGCTAATTAAAAGTGTCTTATTTTCTCATATAAGTACATAACTGCAATTGCTTTTTTGTCCATTTGTATTCTACTATAGTTATTCAGTCTCCACCAGTGTACAGTAGGTGATTAGCTTGTATTGGTCATGAACTAATAATGTGTTAGAATGCCCCGAGAAGCAAATGCACTGCTGTGTTTTCTGTGGAAGTTATTGACGTAGTTAGTCTGGGCCAATTTGTTCTTGTTCCTGACTTTCCTTCTTTTAGGGGCATGTAGAGATTAGCTCTCTACTGCCTCCTAGAGAGCTTGTTCCATTTCGTTTTAACCCTGAGTTACTGTCAATCTAGGGCTGTATGCTCTAAGTACATTAGGGATCATTCAGGTAATTGTCATGACTGTCCTAGGAAAGAGGTTATTAGAGGTGAGAAAAATAAGGCAGAGGATCATTGAGACCTCTGTTCAAGGCCCCATGGCTGGTGAGTAGTGGTGTCTACAAAGTGAACAGAGTCTCACTACAAAGCCTGGGCTCTGAGCCATCATTGCATGTCTCTGTTGGCATCTTAAATGCTATGTGCTGTATCCAAAGTGTTACAGGATGACAGATGGCTAAAGCATGCTCTGTTGAGATTTTAGTGAGCAAGGTGTAGCTAGCATATTGCTGTGTTTATCTAACTTCTCATCAGTGTGTGGTTTTAGTGTGTAAGGATTAGGCTGAAGGCCAAGGTCACATGTTGTTTGTATGTGATTTTTCCTAACTAGGAAAGACTTTCTCAGAGAGACATCCTCACAAGATCTAAGATCTAAGTCACAAGAAACAGTCTCATGTCATTCTGGACACGCATGGTCAGAAAACTGGATCAGGTTGGACTGAACACTGAGATGCTCCCAGGATACTGAGAACAAATTCATCAGGGGGTTTGATTAATGCACGTGCTTTTCAAAACAAACTCTTGACGAAGCACACAGCTTGGCAGCCCTATCATTCTCTAGCTGCTTCCAGAGCTGATCAGGAAGTGAGCACTAAAGCAGTCCCGGTGTCACCGCTGACTGTCACCACTGATGCTGTGGCTCTGCTTTCTCATCTCTACACTGAGGAGCTAGAGTCCAGTCCCTTCTCAGCTCTACACTGAGGGGTTAGAGTCCAG